ATGGATTGTATAGTGTTGAGAATTGGAAATCCTATTTCTATTACATCGAAAGCAATCAATTTGTAGAAAGAAATAAAAACACGCAAAATTTATAGAGGTTTATATTAATATCAGACTACGTCCTTTTTTGTTGCTACAATAATTCACTATGATGAAAAAAGTTTATAGGAAAAAATTGTTCATCCTATCTTCTCTAATCTCTATATCTTTTATGATTGTAATAAAAAAAGTCTACTGGCGACTCCTTACTTATAAAACAAATTAGGGAAAACTTGAAATTTGCAAGGACACTAATCTTAAATCCACAATTCCTAAACTATCTTCCACTTGGAAACTAATCCACAACTTAGTAATCTCTCACTTGAAAACTAATCTACCATCAATGGCTCTCCTGCAACGACAATAACTCTTTAATCCTCAGAAGAGAAGCCGGGTAAAGTAGCATATAACTTCAGTTTTTCTATCTAAAGTCTTAGTCAAAATGTCAACTGGATTTTGTCTCCCTTAAATCTTAGCAAGTATCAATATTCTACACTCCGAAGTCGAGTTTATAAAGTGATAATGGACCCGTAGATGCTCTATCCCTGCATGATAAACAAGATTCTTTGCTATGTGAATAACACTCTTATCACAATGCAATACACTCTTCTCATGCTTGTGACCCAATTATTCTGAAAAAGATTGTAACCATACTATATCTTTATTAGCTTCGGTCACAACAATATATTCAACCTCAGTAGTGGAAGAGCAACTATCTAGACACCTAACTAACTATTATAACATACGAAGTATACACATATCCAGCAGTACTCTTATTTTCATCAACATCTACATTGCCCCATAGTCCCAAGCATTATTTTTTGAAATTTAAGGTTGAATCTGTAGTACCTCTCAAGTACATATGAATCCACTTTACTACCTCCCGTTGATGTTTATTGTTTAATCAAATTGCTCATATATCACAACTCTCACAGCACGTGCTATGTCTGATTTTTACACAACATGACATACATAAGACTGCTAATAGTAGAGGCATAAGGTACCTTGACCACGTAAGCCTGCTCCTACTCTATAGATAGTGGTTGCTCATTAGATAGCTTGAAGTGACTAGCCAAAAGTTTATTTGCTATTTTTTTGAATTATTCATATAAAGCTAGCTTTTCACCTTTTCACATACTGTTCCTACAACAGTTTCTAGACGTCATTGTCCCTAGTAATTTCCATCCCAAGGATTTATTTTGTTTACACACATCATTCAATGCAAACTCTTTGAATAACTTCCACTCTTCAAGAAACTTCTAGAAATTAGGGACATTCTTTGTGCAAATGTTGTTGCCCAACAGTTTTCAATTAATGGACAGCAAGGGGGAACGAGTCATATGGATGCTGGAATTGCCCCTTCATGGCAGGCTGTTCCTGGCCGAATTTACAGTGCTGGGAATGCACTAAACTGGACGGTTAATGGGCAGAACTGGGACGACAATCCAGGCAGGCATAATCCTTCATTCGGGAGGCAGTTTCTAGAATTTTGGAATGAAAATCTGGGTTGTTTTACAAGTGGAAAATTCAGTACAAATTGCCTATAATTTTTTTAGGCCTAAGGGTACTCTCAAGACTTGGGGAGCTAAAGTTTGGAAACCGTGCATCACTTCGAAGCATTCTTTTATGCTTTGGTTAGGGGCCCAATCAAAGCTCCTAACTAAAAACAAATTACTCTTCTTGGATATTGATCGTAAGTGTGATTTTTGTGGGCATTTTGTGGAAACTTGCAACCATCTTTTCTTTAAGTGTTCCTTCACATCTACCTTATGGGAGAATATTAGGCGATGGCTCAGCATTACGAAATCTATGTCAACACTTGCTAGTGCTCTTAAGTGGTTGAAAAATGAGGCACGTGGGACTTCATGGCTAAGTAAGGTGAAGATGATTGCTCTTGCAAGCACTGTTTACTACATTTGACTTACAAGGAATAGGAAAATATTTGAAGACCTCTCACCCGACTTGGAGTGCATTGTGAGACGGATTAAGATACACGTATACAAAGTTATGTTTACTTTGTATCCGGATGTCTTGATCCATTTCGAATCCTTGGCATTGGGTCATTGATCTTTTTTATATTATGCCCGGTGTATTTGTTTGTGTTATTTGCTTGTGTTTTGTCCGGGTATGCTCTGTGTACTTGTACATGGAACGTTTTTGATCAATATATTTACATTTACCGATAAAAAAAAATAAAAAAAAACCCCTCTTTGAATAACTCCTTGTTCAACTTGTCTATTTCTTGTTTGCAAATATCTGCAATTAA